TCACAATATAAAGAAACAAAAAAATAAAAGAAATAAAAAATTTATAAATTCGTTGATTTGTTTGTTTGAATGAGGTGTACAGACACCGCATCCACTAAAAAAAGTTTTTTTTTATTTTTTTCTGTTTTATCTTTTTTTGTTTTATTACTTTCTTCTGTATCTTCTATTTCTTTTGTTGTTTTATCTTCTTCCTCCTCTTCTGCTGTATTTGTTTTATTTATTTCTTTTTCTTTTTCTTTTTCTTTTTCTCTTTCTTTTTCTTTTTCTTTTTCTTTTTCTTTTCCTTTTTCTTTTTCTTTTTCTTTTTCTTTTTCTTTCTCTTCTGTTTCTGTTTCTGTTTCTGTTTCTGTGTGTTGTATTTGTTCTCCATGTTCATTAAAATTTATATTATTATTTATATTATCATCAGCATCAGCAGAGTGTTTATAAAAACAAAAATTTATATTTTTATGTTTTTTTTGTTGGTGTCTATTTAAAACAGATTTATAAGAAAAACGTAAACCACAAAAAGAACAAACAAAACGACGCTCTTGCAAGTGTTTTACTCTTATGTGAACAGACAGATTGCTCTTCTGTTTCAATAAACACACAAACAAATAAATAAATAAATAAATAAATTAATAAATAAATAAATAAATAAATAAAAGTAATTAAAACAGAGAAAAACGCAAAAAAAAGAGAAAAAAAAAGAAAGAAAAGAGAAAAAAAGAAAGAAAGAGATACAAAATAATAGTGTTTTACTCTTATATGAACAGACAAATTACTCTTCTGTTTTAAAAAACACACACAAACAAACAAACAAACAAACAAATAAATAAATAAACAAATAAATAAATAAATAGATACATAATTAGAGAAAAACGCAAAAAAAAAGAGAAAAAAAAGAAAAAAAAAAGAGAAAAAAAAGAGAAAAAGAAAGAGAACAGACAGATTACTCTTCTGTTTCAATAAACACACAAACAAATAAATAAATAAATAAATAAATAAATAAATAAATAAATAAATAAATAAATAAATAAATAA